AAAAAAAAATTAACCTTATTTATTTTTAGAGAGACAGAGAGTGAGAGGGGGTGGGGCAGAGAGAGAGGGGGAAGAGAGAATCCCAAGGAGGCTCCGCAGGATCATGCGGGGCTTGAACTCATGAACGGTGAGATCATGACTTGAGCTAAAGCCAAGAGTGGACTTTTACCCAAATGAGCCACCCAGATACCTCTAAAGATTGTATTTTATTTTATTTTATTTTATTGAAAAATTTTAAAAAATCTTAATCTTTATTTGTGAGTGAGAGAGAGAGAGAGTGAGTTTTGTGGGGGAGGAAAAGAAAGTGGGAGACACAGAATCTGAAACAGGCTCTGAGCTATGAGCTTAGAGCTGCACTTGGGGCTTGAACTCACAAACCTTGAGTTCCTGACCTGAGCTGAAGTCAGACGCTTAACCGACTGAGCCACCCAGGCACCCCATAAAGACTTTATTTTTTAAGTAATCTCTACACCCAATGTGGGGCTTGAACTCATGACCCTGAAATCAAGAGTTGCATGTTCTATAGACAAAGTCAGCCAGGTGCCCCAAGGCCTATTTATAATTTGATAAGGAATGAAAAGCTGGTGTTCAAATCACCACTGATCATATGGGAATTTTCTGTATAATATATACTGATGCACAAATCAACACTAAATTTGGAATATGGGCCACTAAGTTTTCAGTGTTTTTTCAGATGTTTCTGTTAAACATGTTTTGGATAGTAAGAGTTTTAGTCTTGCACATACATAGACTTCCAAAAGGAAATTTGGGTTCCCTGGGTGGCTCAGTTGGTTGAGTGACTGATTCTTGATTTCAGGTGAGGTCATGATCTTGTGGTTGGTGGGTTCGAGCCCAGTGTGTGTCTCTGTGCTGACAGTGTGGGGCCTGCTGGGATTCTCTGTCACCCTCTCTCTCTGCCGCTATCCCCGACTCTCAAAAATAAATAAATAAACATTAAAAAAGAAAACAAAAGGAAATTTGAGTTGCCTTAATATAAAGCATATCCTGGTTTTATATCTTGCTCACCCTTAAGAGACTTATATAGACCAAATTAGGCATCCTTTAGCTACATAAACTGTTATTTGGGGGTTTTACTTTATGTTTTGTAGGCATTTTACTGGAATGAATATACCAAAATCATAAAAAAAAAAAAGTTCTAGAGTCTACTGTATCAGAAGTTTATATATAGAGTTTTTATTTATTAAACAGTTTTAAATTTTATTTTTGAGAGGAGACAGAGAGAGTGGAGGAGGGGCAGAGAGAGAGACACACACACAGAATCTGAGGCAGGCTCCGAGCTGTCTGCACAGAGGCCAACGTGGGACTTGAACTCACAAACCTCGAGATCATGACCTGAGCCAAAGTCGGATGCTTAACCACCTGAGCCACCCAGGTGCCCCAATTTTTATTTTTTTAAGTAAGCACTAGGCCCTGTTGCATCCACACGACTCCTGAAACAGAATGCTATGGGCACCAGTGACAGTCACAACAAATTTTATTGCAATGAGAGGCAAGGTCGACCGATCGGGACCAACACTTTTGATCAGAGTGCGGCCTCCAACAGCCGGGGTACAGAGTTTTTATAGCCGATCACATCGTTTTATCATCACCTGGGAACAGAACAAAGAAATAGTTCCCGGATGGGGTGACTATTTTAGACTTTCTGCCATTAAGTTGCAACCAGTGGATCTCCTTGACCCTGCCTCTGATGCTCTTTTCTTTGAATTTTTGTTTCCTTAATTGTTGAAGCCTAATTTACAAGAGTATGAAGCGTAATTTACAAGAGTAAAGCAAGGCTGTTATCTCTTAACCTTCAGTGTTAACACAAAGCTGTTATCTCTCAAGCTACAGGTTAGCCCTACACTACAATTTAACCCTCACAGGCCCAACAGGGGGCTTGAAATCCTGACCCCGAGATTAAGAGTCACATGCTCCACAGACTGAGCCAGCCGGCGCCCCTAATAGGATTCCATTTTAAATAGTCGAATCTAAACTTAAGGGTATTCCTTATAACTCACACTAGTACAGACCATTTCATATTTACAAAGTTTTTCTTCCTAGCAGGGGCCCAGCCCAGCTGGTGGAGTATGGGGTTCCCATAGGAAGGCAGACAGCATAATGGTGGAGCCCCACAGGGTGTGCTACGTGACTTTGGGTGTGTAGAGGGAGTTAAGTGCAACTCCTGATGGAGGGACAGGGAGAGGACAGACTGAGACAAAGTTTCTGTTAACATAGGAGTAAAAGTAGGAGTTATTTTATCCTTAATGTCATTTTATAAACAAGGGAACTAGCATAAGACCCATTAATTATGTGACTTTTCCAAGGTTCTAAAGCAAATCAGTAACGAATCTAGGAAAGAATTCAAGCTTCCCACACTTAAGCTTTATAGTTCTTAATTACTGAGCAGGCAGCTATAAATAACTGCTTCATTGGAAGAAATCTGCAAGTACCAAAGATATAATAAAATGAAATATAAAAATAACTCTTAATCCTCCCAAAAGAATGACACAGAATAGAAGTTACCAAGCCAGAGACTTTTATTTCCTCCCCTCTGTTACAGCCTGTAACAGTCCTCCAAAACGGAGGTTCTTTTTTCCAGGTATCAACTGAATTGTCTTTTTTTTTTTTTAACGTTTATTTATTTTTGAGACAGAGAGAGACAGAGCATGAACGGGGGAGGGGCAGAGAGAGAGGGAGACACAGAATCGGAAGCAGGCTCCAGGATCTGAGCCATCAGCTCAGAGCCCGACGCGGGGCTCGAACTCACAGACCGCGAGATCGTGACCTGAACTGAAGTCGGACGCTTAACCGACTGAGCCACCCAAGCGCCCCTCACCTGAATTGTCTTTATATCAGAGTTCTCAAACTTTTTGGTCTAAGGACTCCTTTACACTCTCAGAAATTACTGAGGATCCTAAAGAGCTTTTGTTATGTGCTGCCTGTTCCTCAGCGTCTAGATTTCTGCTCCTGTATGTCACGATGTGAGACACTGTACATAGAGGGCTCGTCTCAGAGACTGCTACTTATGACGGTGCTAATTAGTATTTTCAGTAATAAGGTAACTCTTTTCAGGTACGCGAAAGCAGCGCACCGCTGTGGTGGATG